AATCAAGATTCACCCTATTCTTGGTTACGGCAGCCAATCATGTTCCGAGTTACAATGAACGCTATGGCCAATCAGAGCCCTTATACCATTCAAGATTTGTACTGTAATAACAGAATTCGTTGCAGATTAATTCGGACAACAATTGCAAACTAAGTATTTTTATAACAAGTTGGTTTAAATGAATAACCATTACAGTAACATTAATTACTACAACACGATTATTATATGATTGTTATAGATGTTGTATAACGTAATTTGGTAAGATTAACTTAGCCGACCAAGCACTCTTTAAAGTTTTACTACAAACATTTTAATGCAGTTATTATACATTACAACACTTTATATTATTATTTACTACCATAGTTACAATAATGCCCGTGCATTATTCTAACACATCTATGAATCACTCACTTATAATAAATATAAGGCTCATTTCATCAGTCACTGATTATAAACAAATATTATAATAACGCTCACATATGACTACATCACTAATCATAAACTAATCTAATAAATCAATCACAAAGCAAAAAAACAATATGGATCACGCATGAATGCATCACTAATAATAAACCAATAATATAATAATGCTCACACATTAATTCATCACTAATAATAAAGCGATAATATAAGGGTCACACATTAATGCATCTTCAATAATAAACCAATAATATAATAATGCACACACATTAATTCATCCCTATTTATAATCCAGTAACAAAGTTAACATTAATAATCTTCTTTAATTTTCTATTTCACAGACATAGATTAAATTTAGTAACAGACTAAAATATAAGTAACTTCAATTTAAAGTAATAGTTTGATATATTGAATATGTTTGAATACAGTTGTGCCTTGTCTACTAAAGAAAGAAAATTGATTGATTTATGTTTAATACAAGCAAGGCGTTGTATTGCTTTATGCTGGAAAAATGTTAATCGCCCCTCCATTGGATTTTGGTTGAGAAACCTTATAACATGCTTGGCTCTTGAAAAGCTCACATATATAATAAGGAAAAAATCCTCTGAATTTTGTGACATCTGGGAATTGTTTTTGAACTTTTTAAAAAACGGAGATATTGAAGAAGCTTCGGAAGTCTGAAGTTGTGGGATGTTAATTGGTGCTTGATTTTATTTTTATTTATTTATTTATTATATTTTTATGTGTATATGTATATGTGTAATTTATTATTTTATTTTTTTGCATTTTTTAATTATTTATTTAGTTTTATATTTTTTTCCCTAAGCCTGTCTAGGGTAAGTTTTGGGTTCAATATTCAATAAAGACATGTTATACAAAAGTAATAGTTTGAATGCACTGCTTTTACATGTAATAAAACAATAGTTTTCAAAATGTAGAAAATATTTTCTTTTTGGAAATGAAAATGTTGTCTTCAAAAAATTTACGTTACATGTACATTATTACATTACAAAAGAGATAAAATAAAATTTGACTTATTCACTGTCTCAACTAGGACAAACATTGTTATTAATGATGTAATTATTTTATTGATGGCAGCCTGAATCTGACAGATAGAGGCAACAAAAGTAAAGGAAGCTAACAAAGGAAAGTCATACAGAAAACTGTCCCCAGAGGCAGTACTGGACAAGACCAAAGAAACTTAAATGAGCACCATGGAGATGTGATTAACAGAAAACATCTGCTTGGATTCTTTGAAATCCAGTTTAGTGTATTTTGTGGCCAAACATAAAGGTGGGTGGCTGAAAATGCGAGCTGGAACCGAGGAATCATCAGGATGAAAAGAGAGGTATAGCTGGGTATCATCAGCATAGCAGTGGTAGGAAAATCCATGTTTCTGGATGACTGGTCCTAAAGATGTTGTGTAGATGGAGAAGAGAAGTGGCCCAAGAACAGAGCCTTGAGATACCCCACTGTTTAGATGCTGTAGGTTGGACACCTCTCCCCTCCAAGACACCCTGAATGACCTGTCAGAGAGGTAAGATCTGAACCACAGTATAAAAGTGCCCGCAATGCCCAGTGACTCGAGCGTAGATACCAGGATCTGGTGGTTGACAGTGTCAAAAGCAGCTGACAAATCCAGCAAGATGAGGACTGATGATTTAGAGTCTGCTTTAGCCAGTCTGAGATCCTCCACGACCGAGAGCAGGGCAGTCTCAGTTGAATGGCCTTTCTTAAAGCCAGATTGCCAGCTTAACTAGACTAAAAGCTTACCTCTTGGAAATGTAGCAAGCTAAGCTAAAAACTCCTTGGCAAAAGCAGTGTAGCTAACAATATTCATATTTAAATCGAAGCAACTTAAATCCAAGTCAAGCATATCTTAGTGATTAATAAAACTGTCAATGAAAAATGATTCAGTTCAGTTATTTACTGTAAATATTATGTTGTACCAAACAGAAACAAATTATGTTATATAACAGCAAAAACTAAAAATCCAATAAAACCAGGTGTTACACAAATAAAATACTATAGTTATTTATAGTAAAGGGAAATACTCTGTAATAAGCATTATATTGTATATATTTTTACAACTTTTCATTAATGAATTACACCCTAATCTAATCTTTCTGTCATCTTTTAATCAAGCAAGTTTCTCGTGTCAGCCCAATGATTGTTTGGCTACATCACCAACCAGAGCAAGAGGTGGCAGTAACGCATCAAAAACTTTGTTATCGACCACCGTAAAACAGGAAGAAGAAAATGTCATTCTTCTAATGTAGAAACTTCTTTGTTATTGATCGGTAAAGCTGTTTCAGAAACCAAAGAGGCCTCCGGTGCACAGAACTGCACAATAGGTGGTTGGCGCTGACAAGCAGTAATACACACGGTGTGTTTGGCAACCCCCCATATGGGAGTCCAGGGCTGTAACATCCATTGTCTCTAACGTTAGCTTAAAAGATTTCCGGCATCAACAGCAGTAGGCGTTGCGGTCATTTCCTGGCACAGGCTTAACCCAAACTCAATTCGGATTCCTTGGCCACAGCGACACTTTCCCATTTTAGCCGACAATCTGGGCTAGTGACTATCTTGTTCTGTACCTCACCTCAAGTAACCATATGACGGGTGCGCACACTTTCGCGATTTCTGCTATGACATGGAGGTAGAGGTGCACTCAACGTTACACTGCATTAATTTTAAAATAGCCTACATTAGTAACAGTTCATTTTGTTATGGTCTGAACTTAATCCTAGGAAAGGCAAAAAAAAATGCATAAAATTAAGACCTTTGTAACAAAATTCAAGACGTTGTATACCAAATTCAAGGCTATAACGCCTTATTTTGAGATTATCTAATGTAAGACTTTTTCAATGCTTTTAAGACCCCGCCGGTACTCTGGACATGGACCTTCAGCATGCAGTGGGACAGTTTGCTGCTGAGTGTGACATGGCAGAGAAAGAAACAGCACCTCTAAGTCAGAAACCATAATGCTTGAATGGAAAACAGTGGCCACCTCCAGTTTGGCAGAGAGTCCTTACCCCAAATAGAGTATCTGATTTTTTTTGCCATGAGGAATGTAATATAAGATTAAAAGATGGATCAGTGCAGCGGCAGCAGTAATAATAATAATAATAATTCCTGATTGAAAAAATAACATTTCTGGGCACTCAAAGCGCTTTACACAATGGTCTCCTCCACCACTTCATCCACCTGGATGACACGACAGCAGCCATTTTGCACCAGCCCGCACACCACACACCAGCTGATTGGTGGAGAGGAGACAGAGATGAAGCAAATTGAATTGGATGGTTAGGAGCCCATGATGGACAGGATGCCAGGGTTAAACCCTAACATCCCTAAACATCCTAACGACCACACACGGGACCTCGGTTTAACATCTCATCCAAAAGACGGTGCTTACTGAGCAGTATAGCATCCCCTTCACTATACTGGGGCATTAGGACCCACACAGACCACAGGTTGGGCGCCCCCTGCTGGCCTCACTAACACCACTTAGCAGCAATCTAGCTTTCCCATGTGGTCTCCCATCCAGGTACTGACCAGGCGCAGCCCTGCTTAGCTTCAGTGGGCGGCCATGTGAGAGTTGCAGTTGGTAATGGAGTTGATGTGATTGTCTGTTGTGGTGAAGGAGCTGAGACGAAAGGTAATCTAAGTACCTACTGTCACCCATGGTCATGACTGAAAGGACAAGATCTCGGATACAACCGGACACATTTTACAAAGTGTTATGACCCGCTTGTTTGAGTCGCAGCACAAAAGAGAGATGAGCCAACAAAATAACCTGAATGCAAATGATTTATTATAAAATGTAACTCATAGAACAATCAATCAAAGCAACCAACAAATGTCTAGGGATACTAATGAAGATAAAGAACTTAGGATATAAATCACAACAACACTTTAACTACATGATATAAGTAATGCAAAACAAAACCATAAGGTTAAAGAATCAATGAGATGGGAGGTCTTGACATGAGGACTCCTGAGTAGCTAACACAACAACTTTTGGACTGGCCAACACTGGATTTCTCATTCAGGGAATCAGACAGAGAACATCATCCAACACAACACTAGCTACATGAACACACTGGAGAGTGGATAACAGATGAGATTTCAAGCCGCAGAGGTGCTGTTTGCCAGATGTTTATGAAACTGTTTTTCTCTCAGCTGCCATCATTGTGTTTACATAAATGCGAGGAGCGCGACACATTTACAACCCCATCTACTGCAGTGTAGGAAAACAGTATACCGTTACTCAGCCTTTTCAAACATTATTCATACATGAAACATCCTGTGAGAAAATGTTTTGCTGCATTCATGTCATGTGTGCAACTTTTTGTCCATGTGTTTTTTAAGCTGCTGCGAATGAGCGAAACTCTGTAGATACTGATCAGATCTGTACGTTTCTCTCCAGTGTGAATCCTCTTTTGTGTTTTCAGATGTGTTAACTGATTAAACCTCTTGTCACAGTTTGAACAATTGTACGGTCTCTCCAGTGTGAATCGCTTGGTGCAGTTTTTGGAGCTGAAATAAAAGTCTTCTCACACTCAAAGCACATATACTCTTTCACACCAGAGTGGACCTTCATGTGTTTATTAAGGTTTTCTGATTGGTTTAAGCTTTTCCCACACTGAGTACATGTGAATGGTTTCTCTCCAGTGTGGAAGTCTATGGGCATAAAAGTCCAGTGTGACCGCAGCTTAAGTGCAAGTGAATGGTTTCTCTCCAGTGTGGATCCTCATGTGTTTATTAAGGTGTGATGAGCAGTAAAAATTCTTCCTACACTGAGTGCATGTAAATGGTTTCCTTCCAGTGTGAATCATCATGTGTTCATTAAGGTGTGATGATTGGCTGAAGCTCTTTTCACACTGAGTGCAAGTGAATGGTTTCTCTCCAGTGTGGATCCTCATGTGTCGATTAAGGGAGGATGAGCAGTTAAAACTCTTCCCACACCGAGTGCATGTGAAGGGTTTCTCTCCAGTGTGGATCCTCATGTGTAGATTAAGGTGTGATGAGCAGGTAAAACTCTTCCCACACCGAGTGCATGTGAATGGTTTCTCTCCAGTGTGGATCCTCATGTGTAGATTAAGGTGTGATGATTGGCTGAAACTCTTCCCACACTGAGTGCATGTGAATGGTTTCTCTCCAGTGTGGATCATCATGTGTTGATAAAGGTTTGTACAGCAGCCGAAACTCTTCCCACACTGAGTGCATGTGAATGGTTTCTCTCCAGTGTGGATTCTTATATGGTGATTAAGGTGTGAGGAGTAGCTGAAACTCTTTCCACACTGAGTGCATGTGAATGGTTTGTCTCCAGTGTGGATCCTCATGTGGTTATAAAGGGAAGATGACAGGCTGAAACTCTTCCCACACTGAGTGCACATGAATGGTTTCTCTCCAGTGTGGATCCGCATGTGTAGATTAAGGTGTGATGATTGGCTGAAACTCTTCCCACACTGAGTGCATGTGAATGGTTTCTCTCCAGTGTGGATCCTCATATGGTGATTAAGGTGTGAGGAGTAGCTGAAACTCTTTTCACACTGAGTGCATGTGAATGGTTTGTCTCCAGTGTGGATCCTCATGTGGTTATAAAGGGAAGATGACAGGCTGAAACTCTTCCCACACTGAGTGCATGTGAATGGTTTCTCTCCAGTGTGGATCATCATGTGAATCTTAAGACTGCTTTTGATTGCAAAACTCTTTCCACACTGAGAGCAGGTAAAATGATTCTTGTCTCTCCTTTTTAAAATACCATCAGTCTGTAAAGGAGTTTTTTCCTTAATTTTGACATGTTTCTCCTCTTTACTCCCCTCATTCTCTTCAATCAGGTCTGAAATAAATAAAACATTAGTTTTCATTAAGTCTTAAAAACTCTCATTGGCTACACACAATGAAATTTTGATGCACATTAAATGTAAAATAAATCAGATCATATTTTGTTCGGTCCATTAACGTGTACACATTTAAGCAGATTCAAATCAATTTATCTTTATCTAGTATCTTTAACAATGTAAATTTTGTCAAAGCCGAAGTTTTAGTAGATTGAAACTGTGTCAGTCCAGTTTTCAGAGTTTCTTACATAATTGATCATAAGTCATTTGGTCATATTGATAAGACACAGATTTGAAAGCTGTAAATGGCCTCTTTTTATTCATATTTATTCATTTATCATTTATGATTGTTGGTGTTTTCTGTGATGACAGTCAACATAGTTTAATTGGTCTCCACTCATAAGACGGCAAAAAGGTAATGGGTGAGAGTATAAAGGAAGAGGAGGAGAGTTAAAGAGGTTGACAGAACTGTTGCAGTGCGGGAAAACGAGAAGAGAAAGTGGGTCGAGACGAGCAGTGTAAACTTAACAACTGGTTGTAAGAAACAAAAAGCAAAAGTATGTATTGAAGCAACAGGGCAAAGACTGCTGTCTTATTACTGAAGTGCTCTATCCTCCGCTGGGTCTAGACGTTCTTCAAAATGTATGCGTTCCTCATCAGATTTGCGCTCTTCCTCTGAGGAGAAAGTAAATTCTTCATCGCTGTCCAGTATCATCCGAAGTGCTTCTTTCGTGCAACATGCACATCTATGAAAAAGCTTGTCGTTTTATGCCATGTCTCGGGAAACGTGTACAATATTACCTGGCTCACCTCAGTTCATTTTTATATGAACAGTGTGCTCACTGAGGGCAGGATCACATTAGCTGTAACGAGGTGATACAGGAAAATCCTTACTTTTATACGGATTCCATGAAAAAAGTTGATTATTTGTTTTTGACTTGAATTGGTTAATGCAAAAGTAGATATATCAAGCTTTAAAGATGTCACAAATCATCATCTTTGTTGAATATTTGCTGAGTTTCCTGTCCTGTTTTCCAACTGATGATCAACAGTAAAAATGCCATAATTTACCACTTCCCAACAGGAAAAAAAAAAAACACCAACAATCTAGATTGCATGATTATTTGGTGTCATGGCTTTGCAGTTAAAAAATGTGGTTATAATGGAAGTCAATGGGTCAAAAACAGCCAAGAACATAATGAAAGGGTATAGGGCTGCACGAGTAATCAAATTATCACGATAACAATATTTGTGGCCCATGATCAATAATTAAATAGTCACGATTTTACAGTAGAAACTCGTTAAATTATTTTAATGAGTGGAGTTTACGGATTGTATGGCACCACAAGCAAAAAGTGACTGCGTCTAGATTGCAAGTGTTTTTTTCGAGGAATGTATGCAAAGGATCAGAAATTGATCGCACTCAAAAAACGCAATCAACACACGTGCATCACTTTCATGCCATGTTCTCAAGGATAAATTTGCATCTGAGTGCTGCTTTGAAAAGAATAAAATTATTAAAAAGCACATTAAAGACAATACATATAAAATAAAACATTTACAAAAGGTGTATCTTATAAAAAAAAACACACCAATTGATAGGCGCTGCTTTCGTGCTTAAAAGGGCACCTAGGTTACCCCATATTTCAGATTTAAGTCTTTTGTGTCTCCAGATTGTAAATGTAAAGTTTCAGCTCAAAACACCCATCAGGTTTTTTAATATACCTTTTATAAGATTCTATCTTTCATCGTTTTGTACCAGGTGGCGGTTTTGTGGTACTGTGCCTTTAAGGCTAGTCCTTACTGCCCACCATGGTAGGTGATTGTCTTCAGAAACATTTTTTGTTGTGCTGCCTGAAAGTCTCTTCACAGTCCCATAGTAATGATTACAGTAAATGATCTGAATGTGTTCATTTGTATTTTTATATTCTGGGTAAAGCATAAAACTAAAAAATGTTCATCCAATTAAATAGTCGGACCGTCATCTCCCTTAATTCCGATTAGCAGGTCAGACTGTCTGTCAGCAAATGTAAATTCGTACTTCTGCGCATCTGTTCACACAGATCCGCCATTAGCGCGTGCCCGTCTGCATCACAAACGAATGCGCGCACGAGTGAGCTCCGGGCCGATGCCGAGTCGGAGCCGCCGAAGGACAGCCAAGCTCGGGCCGATTACTGTAAAGCCAGGCGCGAGTATAATTCGCTCTTAAAGTGGCTGAAGTATTACTGTGAAACAGGTAATGTTCTGTTTTTAAACTATTTTAGTCAGGCTAAGCTTATGTTATGCTTGTGTTAGCTAAGCGTGTTCTGTTATGAATGACTTATATGCACAGACGTGATGTTCAGCCACTGAAATGTACCGGTGAAAGATTGATGTGATTATTTTCAGTTTCATAAGGTCCTTTGACAGCATCTATAATAGAAATTTATATTTAGTTTAACAACAAAACATCAGTAAATAGTGCTATTCCGCCTAGCCTGCTTTATTGAGCTGAAGTTGCTTTTATATTCACATTGGGTCATTTATGAACAATGACAGCCTCCCTATACTGTTTACCATGTTACTCTGAATATTCACTCTGAAATAGCGTGTAAGTGTGGCAAAGTAATAAATGTAATTCCTTTACGGCGCTGGCACTAACTAACTGGCGAATGACCTGAACTAGTGGGTTGTCTGTCTGCTGTTGTGATGCGGTGCGCGCTCGCGATTTCAGGGGGTGTGTCTTTGAATCGCAGTCCCTCCCCGCCGTCCAACGGTAATATGCTAAGCGGTTAGCATTTTGGCAGATCACCTACTGCACCTTTAATCTCCTCCCTCGGCTGCGCCACAACAGACAGACTTAACATAACTGTTCTGACATGCGGCTGTGGTGATAAAGTAAAGCTAAAGTAAATCACTGTTATTCATTACACACATGCACTGTTTTAAAACATTTTAAACTTGTAAAAATCACTCTTCTTGATCACATTTTATGATCATTGATGATCCTAGCAAACTGAACAGACCGTTTATTCCCGGTTGCTTTTCTCTCGTCCTGTCTTGTTGATTTGATTGTACACGTGACTACCATGACATGTTAATATGCAGCTGTCAAATGTCAAGTTCGGTCGGTCTGAAACACTGCTCCTATTGGTCCACCGTTTTTATGTTGTTAAATTGAAAAAAAAAAAGGACTGGGTGTGTTTATATCACCCCAATATGACGGTCTATGCACCATACCTACACACGTCTGTCCAAACAGCTTAAAAACGAGATTTTTCAGCATATGTGCCCTTATAAAAGAATAAAGCTGAATTTAAAATCAAATTTGCAAAAGAAAAAGATTAAACATATCGGGACTGTTAAAAGCACATTCTACTTCATATTTAGACTCCAATACAACAGCTAAGATTATGAATGACAGATTGTAAAGCCGTCTCACCTGCGTGTTTCAGCTGAGCGTCAAATCTCTCTCAAAAAGTTTAACTAAAATGCACAACTGTTGTTAGTTGCACCTGCGGGAACCACAATGAACCGAACACATCATTCTTTTAATTCAATATTCGTGAAGTATGTGAACCAACCGCAGATGCTTTGTCATGTTGGACACGCGACTAGTTTATTACAATAATTACACTTAGCTTTGCCATAATTTTTCACCACATGTAGCCACTCTTTTGAGCACATCTCTAAACAAATGTCTTGATTATTATTGAAGGTGCTCTCCAGCGACAAAGTTCCTGGCAGAGTAGCAGAAGAAAAAAATGTGTATGCCGAAATTGGACAAGAGGAATCAAAATTTAAATTATATAACAAGTATGGGATTCTTAGCATCTAATCCCTGCCCGTTTTATTACAAGTTATGTTTTTTTATAGTTATGGCTGTAATCATTTGGATTAAATTACCCTCAAAATCCTGCTCATTTAAGGCATCATTTTCAGCAAATTATGTAAAATAACAGTAGCAGAACTAACTTTATAGCGACAGCTCGACAAAGTCAGCACGGGTATAAAAACAGGTGGTTTTATTCCTGATAAGAATATTTATTGTTGTCAGATTCACTTTCACATAAATACACCTGAATGAACCAATCAAAACTTACAGCTAATCAGAACAGCCTGTGCGTGTAGCATCTCGTAGATCATACGGAACTGACAGTCTTTTGACTGAGGTAAATCTTAAATGAAGCAAGACAAGAGTGCCTGACTCTCTTGCGTGTGTAGTAACAATAGCAACCTGACATTCTCCTCAAAATTTCCAACAAGCTTACTTTAATACGAAATTAAAGCAGGTAACAAACATGAAGTACAATTGTGGTGCAGCGATGAGACGAATGCATTGAGTGACTGTCAGGAGGCGTGGCTATGCAGGACGATGGTGTGTGTAAACTCGCTTTCAGAAAAGAGAGACAGAAAGCACTTACTGCTGTGGGGCTGCCTCTGATAAAAACAAAAAAAAAACTCCTAAATAAAATAAAGAGGTTTAGAAAGCACAGCTGATATCGCTTTTTGATCCTGTGGGAAGGCAATAATGAACCGGTTAAAATATTTCTGAATAATATGTTGAAAAACTATGTTTTGACAAAACTTAAACCCAAAGGGTTCATAGCTTTGGAACAAACAATCAGAGCTGAAGCCCAACAACCTCCCGTGCCACTCCTGATCAGGTATAAACACCAACCTATTTGTTGTTCAGAGTCTTCATTTTTAATTTTGCAGGGTTCTGGATCACTCATGTTTTTGCTGTCCTTCAATAAACTCTTTACTGGAGCCTGATGGGAATATTCCACTGTTTATAGCTGAACTGGAGGAGAAGACAATTATTCTAATTATATGCTGTGGCTAAAATGAGAATCGTGATTTTTTTTTGCCTAAAATGAAGATCACGATTTTCTCACGATTCTGCAGATGTAAAATAAAAGTTATGAGTGCATGGACTATTATTATTGTTATTCTCAAACGTGGTAAAGCAATGCACTTTGTGTAGCTGTACTATTAGTATAAATACTACATTTTGTATAGACTTTTTTGGGGAAAATGTACTTCTACTACAATACATTACTAATAGACTTTATATATTAACTTATTTTAAAGTATGTAAGTATGTAAACAGTGTACTAAAAATCAACTAATGTTTAAAGCATTTAAAGAACACTTTTGAAAAACACACTAATATAACTCTTTAGGATGTTTTTTCTGTAGTGTACTTTATTGTAGTACACTAAAAATTTATTCAAGTATTACTGGTATTTAGTATACTTTTGTCAAGTGTACTAAAGTCCTACTGAAGTATAAACATACTTTTAATTAGAATATTCATAGTGTAAAACCATCAAACTTTTATTTAACACAAAAAAATAACAATGTACTAAAAATGTATTTGCGAGTATTTAAGTGTATTTTAATTGCATTTAATTATATTTTTTTTCACCTGGGTGAAGAACGCATATTGAGAAACAGCTTCTGTTTTTAGGATCTAAAAATTCATCCTTTAAAAAATCTCAAGCAAAACGATTCCAATGACGCGCCTGCTGGTATGTGAAGAATGTGGTCAATACTGACGAACGTTACACTCGGATGTTTGCATATCATCAGCATGCTGTAATCAATTTCTTACGCATCAAAAGTCATTTTTAGACTAGTTTGTTGGCCAGTTGTAGTCAGTGCAATGCTAAACGTTATTGTTCCACTATAATTTGTTCATTTTGTCTCACGTTGTCCCACAACAACATCATATAGTTTTGAATACTGGACAATGTTTTATAATCATTAATTATTTTAGTGTCCATTTCATTTAGCACATTTCAAATTGGGGGCATCCGCGTTTTCTGACATACTTTAAACCAGGGTCTCTGCAGGTGTCACCAAGTTAAATTTAGGACTTTTAAGTACAATTTCAATATGAATGAAATTTTAGACTCATAAAGGTCTAAAGGCCAAAGAATTTTTCAGATGGCCCAGATAGAAAATTTAAATATTTTAGATATTTCTTAGCAAAAGATCTTAATTATTGTGTAAAAATAAGCAAGCTTTATTTGTATCCTCACACTTTTTTTACAACATAAACTTTATTTAAAATAAAAAACAAATTAACAAATGCTTTTAAAGTTTTAAAAACTATAATAAAATAAATTTATGCACAACAATCTGTCCAGGTCGATGTCCTCAGCAGTGAATACATGGAGCACGTTTAAATGTTATTGTAAGGAAAATGATTAAAGCATTATAATAAATAGAGTTAAAATGACCTTTTTGAATAAAAAGTTGAAAGTTTTATGGAGATGGATTGTTGGTGATTGTATGGGTTTTGACCAGATTGGGTAACAAAACATGAACAAAGGATGAAACAAAATGAAGACTTGTCTATAAAAGATTTAAGACCTACAACAAAATATTTCAGTAAATTTAAGACTTTTTAAGGCCTGAAATTTGGATTTTGGAATTCAAGACATTTTAAGACTCCGCAGAAGCCCTGTTTAAACACAATAGCGCTGGTAATTAGTTATTAAAATAATGATTTAATTCTAGATACTATCTGTGAGAACTAGTAACAACTACTAGAAACAAGTTTAAAGCCATAAAGAAGTCGGAATTATGATCCTGACATATGCAAATGGAAAGTACTAAGCCAACACTATCACTGTAATAGCAGATATCTTCTATGAGAATACTGTAGGTCAAATATCGTCAGCTCAGTTAAACTTTTTTTATATAGCGCCTTTGCTCAGAAACGATTTACAAACAGTAGAAGAACGAGAAATGCTATAACCTTAAGAAGTAGAGAAATGGGAGACTAATAATACATAAAATAGCGACAAAACACCAAGAACAAGTAACAAGAAAGAAACTCATTTCTGTCTTTCAATGAGTGCTTATGTGCATATAGGAGAACTAGGCAGCACACTCAGGGCTGCAAGGTTTAATTTATTCTTATTATTAAAATATATCTGAATGAAAACCAACCTGTTTGTTCCTGCAGATCTTTCTGTTTGACTGTGAATGTTTCTTCAATCTTCACATCTTCACTCTCCTCTTTAATAAATGCCATCTTTATAACAGTGTGGAGATCAGTCACTTCAGCAGGAGTTTTTCTCTGTGTTTGGACACTTTATCCTGTTTAAAATGAACAAAACAATAAAAATGTTCGGTTTAAAATGAATAAAACAATGAACAAAAAAACAAGAATGAGCTGATTAAAACTAGTAGCGTAACTACTTTTCTTATATATAGTGATGTATACTTAGAATGGAATGACATTATGTTATATAATAAATCAAACCTTCATTAAAACACTTTTTCTGTTGTTCAAACAATAGCCCCACCACTGGGAGTAAAATAGTATTACGTTGTATAAGGGTTAAAATAATATTGTCAACAGCAGGTACAAAATTAAGCACTGAATGAAAAACTGAAACTTTAATCAATCGCTTTATATTTGTGTAAACGCTTTAAAACAAACCTTTCTCCAGTCAAATAACAGTGTAGGAGCGGCGCAGCCTTATGACGTCACACGCCAAGCCAAAATAAAAGTCTTTTTTTGTTTAGCTTTTTTGACACTTACCTTTGGAGTAGGCCCAGCTCCAGCTTTGAACTTTAGGGTGGGCCAAAACAAAAACATTAAAAAAATAAACAAATATATATGTATAAATATATATATATATATATATATATAAAGCTTAAACTTAAGACTTAGCCTGAGCGTTAGCCTGCCCTGGACCAGGTTAGTTTCAGCATAAGTTGCCAGGGTAACTAAGTTTGAACTATCTTAAATTTGATTTATGAAACAGAATCTGCCATTAATAAACCTGACTTACCAAGCCTGGCCTTTTCTGTAAGCTAGTTTTAGCCCCCTGTTCTCTCTTCCCTCTGGTATTCTTATCCCCTCCATTGGTTCATCATTTTATTTTTTATTTTTTGTTTATTTTCATGCTTTTTTCTACATTTTGCGCTCCACACTTCTATCCAGTAGGTGGCGGGAATGCACCATGCAAGTTGGTCTGCCAACAGAAGGCTTTTATTATGGCGTGTCGTGTGACGTCATGAGGCTGCGCCGCTACTGCGCTGTGATTCAACAGGAGAAAGGTTTGTTTTAAAGCTTTTACACAGATATAAACGGATTGATTAAAGTTTCAGATTTTCACCAGATGCTAATTGATATACCTGCTGTTGGCATAGATGTAAAGTTGGTTTTATATTCGCACATTCGTTCATTTATAAGTCTCTATTAGCATGCAAGTATGACTTCTAAACAACATTAACACTGTTTATTTGACTGTGAACAATGTTGTACTTTGATAGTTTGTAATAAGTGTTTTAAAGAAGGTTTAATTTATTAAATAGCATAATGTCATTACATTCTAAGTAAACATCACTATATAAGAAATGGAGTAACATAGTTTTATTCAGCTAATTTGTGGCTATTGTATCTTGCTCTGACTTACTCTTTTACCTGATTTCTTTGAAGCAAGAGTTAAAGTGAAGTTATTTTGTTTCTCTTCATTGTTTTATTCATTTTCAACAGGACATTTTTATTGTTTTGTTCATTTTAAACAGGATGAAGTGTCCAAACACAGAGAAAAACTCCTGCTGAAGTGACTGATCTCCACACTGTTATAAAGATGGCGTTTATTAAAGAGGAGAGTGAAGATGTGAAGATTGAAGAAACATTCACAGTCAAACAGGAAGATCTGCAGGAACAAACAGGTTGGTTTTCATACTGATATTTTTTTATAATAATAAATACTAAATTAAATCCATCTTGCAGCCCTGAGTGTGCTGCTTAGTTCTTCTAAATGCACATAAGCACTCATTGAAAGACAGGAATGAGTTTCTTTCGTTACTTGTTCCCATGTCTTTTGTCATTTATTTTATGTATTAGTCTCCCATTTCGTCACCTTATAATTTTAGGTTCTATCTGCGTTCTGAATGATTTTGAGATATTGAGCTTGTTTTTGCATTCCATAGCAAACAGTATGTGTGTAACAACTAATATTAAAAAAAAACATCCCATATTGTAAATAAGATGTCATTTAAAGGGCCATGACAGCCCCCACTTTCGGTTAAAGTCTACTTCAGATTTTTTTCAAAAGATGCATGATTAATGGGCGTGGAGCTCCGCGAGCATCGGGCAGGAGTGGGTGTGGCCAGCAGGGGAGAGAACAACTGCTGTTGACAGTTAGTTCACAAAATGAGACACAAACTGTGAAAAGACGCATGAGTTTATAGTTCACAAAGTTAAAATGCAAAGAAATAAACAGTAATTTAATGCCCTGCTACATTTGTTATTGGTGATTTCATATACATATAACCATAATTTATATCATTATAAAGATAAGTGTGTTCATGTAAACCCTATAAATGAGGACTTCTCTCTCAATCCCCGTATCCAGCAGACTCAGTGCAGCAGGTCTCCTGACCTGTCTATTTTAACCATTAACCCTGCTGGTAATCTGGAGGATTTAGGCAAACACAGCAGCACGGCGATGTGTCTGAATGTGAAAGAACTCCTGATAAAAGTCAATGTCCGCCATTCTTCAATTCTTGTGCTGCTCTCCCGACAAAAATGCTTGCAGCACACACACAGCTTTGATGTATGACCGGCCCTGACAAGATCGTGGGGAAAAACATGCAACAAACCCCGTGGATCATGGAAACAAACACATACGAGCCTTCATGAACGGTTCTGCGTGCCGTGGGTCCGTGTCTCATCACAGCTTGCTTGAAACTGGCAGGTCTGTCTTGCCTTCGGAAAGCACGTGCTCTCATGAATAATTAAGCAGCCGGCTCTTCTCATAGGATAAGAAAACTCCGCTATGAATAATAATGAGAAACCTACGCGTCATCATTGCACTTGCAGTACTGCGCTACGTTGCCGATTTTGATCCCTCCCCAAAAATCATTTTAAACCCGGAAGCTGAAATTAGCTGACAAAAGGCCAAAATTATCCATTTTCTCTACCTTCTTAAGTTTATTGCTTTTCTTGTTCTTCTACTGTTTTTAAAGCGTCCTTGAGCACTGGCGCTATATAAATTAAATAAAAACAATAAATTAAAAAAGTTTACTGAGCTGACGATATTAGACCTACAGTATTCTCATACAAGATATCTGCTATTACAGTGATAGTGTTGGCTTAATACTTTCCATTTGCATGTCATGTTGATCACAATTACCCTTTTTTCATCAACTTTTTTATGTGTTTAAACTTGTTTTTGTAGTTGTTACTAGTTCTCACAGATAGTATCTGAGTTAGAATTACATCATTATTATTATAAAAACTTATTACCAGGGCTATTGTGTTTAAAGTATGTCAATAAACGTGGATGCCCCCAATTTGAAATATACTTAATGAAATGGACACTAAAATAATTAATTTATTATTAATTGCTATTTTAAATAGGGTTTCCTTAAAATGTCGTAAATTCCAAAATCCAAATTTCATGGCTTTAAAAGTCCTAAATTTACTGAAATATTGTGTTGTAGGTCTTAAACCTTTTTTTAAACAAGTCTTCATTTTCAATTGTTCATGTTTTGCTACCCAATCTGGCCAAAACCCATACAATCACCAACAATCCATCTCAATAAAACTTACAACTTTTAATTCAAAAAGGTCATTTTAACTCTATTTATCATAATGGTTTAATTATTTTCCTTACAATAACATATAATCTGCTCCATGTATTTACTGCTGAGGACATCGACCTGTTGTGCATAGTTTTAGTTTATTATAGTTTTTAAAACATTTCTATTATTTTGTTTTAAATAAAGTGTATGTTGGAAAAAAAGTGTGTGGATGCAAGTAAAGCTTGCTTGTTTTTACACAATATTTAAAATATTTTGCTCAGAAATATCTAAATATATATATTTTTTAGTTTTATTATTCATTTATTATTTTATTATTAAATGTATTAAATTATATTATTTGTTGATAGGGCAAACAAAAATCTTTTCCATCTGGGCCATTTGAAAAATACCTTAGCCTTATGAGTCTAAAATTTCATTTATAATGGTCTTAAAAAGTCTTACATTTAACTTGGTAAAACCTGCAGAAACCTTTGTTTAAAATGTCAGAAAATGTGGATGCCCCCAATTTTAAATATGCTGAATGAAATGAACACTTAAATAATTATTTATTTTAAAACATTGTACAGTATTCTAAACTATATGATGTTGTTGGGGGACGACATGAGGCAAAACAAACAAATTATAGAGGAACTATAACGTTTAGCATTGCACTGACTACAACTGGCCAACAAACTAGTCTAAAAATGACTTTTGCTGCTTAAGAAATGGATTACAGCATGCTGATGTTATGCTAAAATTGGTTGACCCTGGGTCATTCCAACTCTGGATAAACAGAATCCTGGGTTATCTGTAATCACCTTCCACACTGCTCATGCTATACCTGGGGTTATAAAATAATCCTGGGTGTTCATTAAGAGACGGTTCACATTCCCAAACCACGGGTTAATATTATTATTTCTATATTTACATTGTCACTGTCCCTAAATTGGACAAACAGGAAACCCTTTTTAGATGGCATTTCTGCATCTTGTCGGGTATATACAATGTCATCATGTAGGTCTTCAGCTATATCTCAGGACATGCACAAAGGCAAGAAAACAAAGACATAAACACAAATGAAGGAAAACAAGTAGCAAAGTATGTCATCTCGCCATCTCCTCATCACTCCAGTTTACACCAAACGTGGCATTAAGCATTTGCATAAGTTATATACAATAATGCAAATATAATGCAATAATCCCAAATATAAGTGTGAATTATGCGCACTTGCTACGAACATGCAGCATTTGTCTCAAACGGGTCTTCCAAGCAGGTTAAAAATGTTAAAATCGAGTGGTGGATACACATGAGGGAACATATCACGAGTAATCTAGAGCGAGTGCATTTGATCATTTGCATTTAAAGCAGGGAGCAGGGAGGGATGCATTGGAGAGGGGTACGCAACATATTTGAGGACCGGGGGGAGACACACAATTTACTGGAGATTATCATTCGATCATTTGTTTGCGGGCACTCCCGAGTCCCTAT